CTCAAGAACAGCAAACGGCATTCGAAGATGTGAAGAGGGCTTTGATGAGTGCCCCAGCATTAGGTCTACCTGACCACACACGGCCATTCTACCTGTATGTACATGAGCAAAGAAGAATGGCTGTGGGAGTATTGACACAGTACTTGGGATCATGGCAAAGACCTGTTGCCTACATGTCTAAGCAACTGGATGCAGTGGCCAGCGGACTTCCACCTTGTCTAAGAGCTGTAGCTGCAGCCGCCCTGCTAGTAGCTGAAGCCGATAAACTCACTCTGGGTCAAGAACTTTATGTACGAGTTCCACATGCAGTACAGACGTTGTTGGATTACAAAGGAAATCATTGGTTTAGTAACAGCCGTATGACCAAGTATCAAGCAATGTTGTGTGAAAACCCAAGAGTGCATTTAGAGACTGTAAATACCTTAAATCCAGCTACCCTTTTGCCACAACCTACTGAAAGTCAACATGATTGTTTGGAAGTAATGGATGAAGTATTTTCAAGTAGACCAGATCTTCGTGATTTTCCCATCCAGAACCCTGATGTTCAATATTACACCGACGGCAGTAGTTATGTAAAAGAAGGGATCCGCTATGCAGGATATGCAGTAACAACGATAGACAAGGTGATAGAAGCTCGGCCACTGGCAAAAGGAACATCAGCACAAAAGGCAGAATTGATAGCACTGACACGAGCGTTACAATTGGCTGAAGGTTTAAGAGTGAACATCTACACGGACTCCAAGTATGCGTTTTTAACCACTCATGCCCACGGAGCTTTGTATAAAGAAAGAGGACTATTGAATTCAGAAGGCAAAGAAATCAAATACGCAGCTGAGATCCTACAACTATTGGAAGCAGTGTGGGAGCCGAAAGAAGTCGGTATTATACATTGTCGGGCGCATCTGAGAGGAGATGGTGATGTAACCAAAGGGAATCGGATGGCAGATAGTGCAGCTAAGCGTGCTGCTGAATCAGGAAGACAGGAATATGTGGGGCATATAGCTGCTCTTATACCAACTCCACTGTCTCAATGGACTCCAATTTATACAGCTCAAGAAGAGGAGTGGTTATGGACTGAACCTGGAAAGTATTTGGAGAACAAATGGTATCAGTTAGAAGATGGAAGAATAGTTATTCCAGCATCACTAGCGGTAGAAATTGTCCAAAACTATCATAACGGGACACATTCTGGGAGAGACAGTACAGAAGAATCTCTCAGAAAACATTTCTACATACCAAGATTGTCCAACTTGACTCAGGCCATTGTACGTAGATGTGTAACGTGTGCTAAAAATAATGCAAGACAAGGACCAGTAAAGCCACCAGGAGTCCAGTTTATGGGGGGACTTCCCATGTCCGATTTACAAATTGACTATACAGTGATGCCTAAATCGGGTGGACATCGCTACCTGCTGGTAGTGGTGTGCACCTATTCAGGCTGGGTAGAAGCATGTCCTACTCGTACAGAGAAAGCAGGAGAAGTCGTGAGATTCCTGCTACGAGAAATAATACCCCGATATGGACTACCCTGCTCTATAGGATCGGACAATGGTCCAGCTTTTGTTCATCAGTGCCTACAACAATTGACTCATATGCTTGGTATAAAGTGGAGGCTTCATACGGCATATAGACCCCAGAGTTCTGGTAAGGTAGAGAGAATGAATAGAACTATTAAGAATCAGTTGGCTAAAATGTGTCAGGAAACCCAACTTAAGTGGAACGTTCTCTTGCCCATAGCTCTATTGCGAATCCGTAGTACACCTACCAGGAGGATGGGCCTCTCTCCTTTTGAAATCATGTACGGGCGACCACCTCCCGTGCTTGGTAACTTAAGGGGGGATTTGAGTCAGTTGGGAGAAGGAATTACCCGGCAGCAGGTTGTAGAGTTGGGTAAGACTATGGAGGAGGTACAGAAATGGGTACAAGATAGATTACCTGTGAATATTTATCCCCCAATTCATAGTTACCACCCAGGCGACCAAGTGTGGATTAAAGAGTGGAATAATGTGCCGTTAGGGCCCAAGTGGAGAGGTCCTTATGTTGTTCTTTTGTCTACCCCTACAGCGATAAAAGTAGCCGAAGTGACTCCGTGGATACATCACTCCAGGGTTAAACCAGCAGCAGCCGATTCTTGGCAAGTTACAGCAAATCCAGAGAATCCCTGCAAGATCCGGTTAAAACGCACGACTCAGTCGGAGTGACGAGGAACCTTGTGGATTACAAATTTTATTGTTTCAGAGACTTGGTAAGTGAGTGAGAAGGCCATAATAAAGCCTGTCCACTCACCAACGAGTGTATAAGTCAGGGAAAGTCTTGAGGGGACCCCTGTGAAGACGAGCAGAACTCCATTCCCTGCAGCCCTTACATCCTGGAAGTTGAGGTGCCTTCGCACGGACGAAGACTGAGGATGACGACGAAAGATGTATTTTTAATAATGTTTATTTATGTGTATTTTTATATTCAGGAAGGTAGAGGTACCGACACTCCTAGCTGTGAGGTATGCATTAAGACTACAGACCCTAATTTGGCATTCGCAATATGAGTGTAAAGGAAATGTATCAAGATGTAGATACTTAAATATAGAATATAGTGTGTGTCATTTAGGAGTAGGAGAACCTAAGTGCTTCAGTCCTGAGTATCAACCCCGTACAATTTGGTTGACTCTCAGAAATGGAGATCCTCAGGGGACCCTAATTAATAAGACGGTATTAGAATCCGTATATTCTTCAGGTGCTCTGCTATTTGATGCGTGTAAAGCAATATCAAGTGGTAGAAAGCCGTGGAATGTATGTGGGGATCTTAGATGGGAGAGGACGTATGGGTCTAACGATAAATATATTTGTCCCAGTAGTAAAAATAAATATGTAAGTCCAAGATGCCCAAATAGAGATTATAACTTCTGCCCATATTGGTCTTGTGTGGGGTGGGCGACTTGGGGACAGACAGCAGACAAGGACATGATTGTGACTAAGTTGCCTACTGATCCATATTGTAAGTCTATGGAATGCAATCCAATCCATATACTTATAAATAACCCTGACAAGTTCTTAGATAAATATGGTAATTTATTTGGGTTTCAAATATATGGGACGGGTTTAGACCCTGGGACAATATTGTTTATAGGGATAGAGACTGATACGGTAACCTCCCAAACTCATCAAGTATACCATTCCTTTTATGAAGAGATGAGCATAGATAATAAGATCCCCCATAATGCTAAAAACTTGTTCATTGATTTAGCCGAGAGTATTGCCGGTAGTCTTAATGTTACCAACTGCTATGTGTGTGGAGGTACTAACATGGGAGACCAATGGCCTTGGGAAGCAAAGGAGGTAATGTCCGGTTCTGAGGCAGTTGACCAATTAATATCTACACAAGCCGACTATCATATGAGTGTTAGAGGTAAATCTGAGTGGAGATTGAAGACCTCCATCATAGGTTATGTTTGCATAGCGAGGAAAGGAATGATGTATAATACTTCTGTAGGAGAATTAACTTGTCTAGGGCAAAAAGCTTATGATGATGATACAAAGAATACAACTTGGTGGTCGGCTTCAAATGTCTCAGAACCATCTAACCCGTTTGCAAGATATGCCAATTTAAAGGACGTATGGTTTGATCTATCCATCACATCTAACTGGAGAGCCCCAGCGAATTTGTACTGGATCTGTGGTAAGAAGGCCTATTCGGAGTTACCACAGGACTGGGAAGGGGCATGTGTGTTGGGTATGTTAAAACCATCCTTCTTCTTGTTGCCTATTGAAACCTTTAGAAGATGATGTGAATCATAGGAAGAAAAGGGGACCCATAGAGATAGGTGCCTGGGAAGATAATGAATGGCCTCCCCAGCGTATTATAGATTATTATGGGCCAGCCACGTGGGCAGAGGATGGTACCTTTGGTTATAGAACCCCTATTTATATGCTCAACCGCATTATAAGGTTACAGGCGGTGGTTGAGATCATTACTAACGAGACATCACAAGCGCTCAATCTTCTAGCGAAGCATAATACCAGGATGAGGACAGCAGTTTACCAAAATAGATTAGCCTTGGATTATCTTTTGGCAGTAGAGGGAGGTGTATGTGGGAAGTTTAACCTGAGCAATTGCTGTCTTCAAATAGATGACGAAGGGCAAGCAATAGCTGAGCTTACTAGCCATATGGTTAAACTAGCGCATGTGCCTACTCAGGTATGGAAAGGGTACAATCCAAGTAGTTGGTTTGGTAGCTGGTATGAGTGGTTTGGAGGGCTTAAGGCAGTGGTAGGTGGAGTCCTACTGATTTTAATGTTGTGTCTACTCCTGCCGTGTCTTATACCCTTAGTAGTTAGGTCTGTGCAAAGCCTGATAGAAAATATAGCAGAGAGGAAGGCTGCTGCACAGATAATGGCAATTTATAAATATAAGGCTCTAGATCAGGGAGAACCAATGCAGGAAGACGAGTGTTGAAGATTCACATCATAGGATAAGTCTGGTCTGGTTCAAAGGTAACTTGTGGTGTATGCAAACCAAGGTTAAGTGATGCCTCAAGTAATTGTAAAATATCAAGAGGCATCAAAGGGGGGAATGTGGTGGAATCTCGGTAAAAATAAATTTAGTAGGCCGAGATTACCACGTGGCATGTGTACGTGCATATGCTGACGTATCGATCAGTTGGTTGCACGAGGCAAGATACGATCAGTAGTGTACGGAGCATGTGCAAGAATACAGGATGTAGTATTCCCCTCCTCCATTGTGCTGGACAAGCCATGCGGTCAAGCAGGAAGTTAATTCTTATTTGTAATGATTGGTCAAGAGAATGTGCGGGTGGAGCTTAATATGGGAGGAGTTATGTGCCTATATAGGGAGCCTGCACTATTGTTCAGGGCTCAGAACTTGCTGTATTTTTGGTGACATTAGTCCCTCTGAGTCCCGATCGGTGATCCAATAAAGAATCTCTTCCTTCCTGAAGAAACCTGTGTCCATCTCTCTGTGCTTTGCTTCCGTCAGTTTCTCCGGTATCACAACATCCCATCATTCATCAGCACCGGCATTCCTTTATTCATCAGCACTGGCATTCCATCATTCATCAACATCGACATCCTATTATTCATCAGCACCGGCATCCCATCATTCATCAGCACCGGCATTCCATCATTCTTCAGCACCAACATCCCATCATTCATCAACATTGACATCCCATCATTCATCAGCACCGACATCCTATCATTCATTTCATTCATCAGCACCGGCATCCTATCATTCATCAACATCGACATCCTATTATTCATCAGCACCAACATCCCATCATTCATCAGCACCGGCATCCCATCATTCATTAGCACTGGCATCCTATCATTCATCAACATCGACATCCTATTATTCATCAGCACCGGCATTCCATCATTCTTCATCACCAACATCCTATTATTCATCAACATTGACATCCCATCATTCATTAGCACTGACATCCCATCATTCATCAACACCGACATCCCATCATTCATCAACACCGGCATCCCATCATTTATCTCATTCATCAGCACCGGCATCCCATCATTCATCAGCACCGACATCCCATCATTCATCTCATTCATCAGCACCGGCATCCCATCATTCATCAGCATCGGCATCCCATCATTCATCAGCACCAACGTCCCATCATTCATCAGCACCAACGTCCCATCATTCATCAGCACCGACATCCTATAATTCATTCATCAGCACCGACATCCCATCATTCATCTCATTCATCAGCACCGGCATCCCATCATTCATCAGCATCGGCATCCCATCATTCATCAGCACCAACGTCCCATCATTCATCAGCACCAACGTCCCATCATTCATCAGCACCGACATCCTATAATTCATCAGCACCAACATCCCATCATTCATCAACACCGGTGTTAAGACACCCCTGGCACACAGGAGTGAAACCGCCGTTTAGTTAAGCTTCCCCTTTTCTCAATAATGCAGGCTCAATTCGTGTATACCTCAACCATACGAACTGAAGCCAGGGGAATGCGCCAATCTCCCGAACAGGACCCGTACGGGTTCTCCAAACTCCCGAACAATAAATCCACGAATCACGGCTAACAGCCGAACAAATATATCCTCCAAGCGGCTTACGTTTCCAGCAATCAGTCGCTAACTGTGTGTAGTAAACCCCCCCAATAACGAGACCAAGCTTCGCATTGAGGGTAAAACAAGAACTGGCTTTATTGTGGGCTACCCGCCCGTATTTATGCAGGTCTCCCACTTGGTGGACACTCCCTAGGGGACCAAATGGGAGACTGTAGTTACAGACAGACATATAGCACTTTAGGACATACAGGCACAGAATATTCCCACAATGCCTCCTGGTTTCCTCCCCTCTGCCCTGGAGATAATTGAGAAGTAATTCAATTATCTCCCAGGACAGAGGCAAATCGCCATTTTAAATGAAACATAAAAAACACATAAAAATAAATAATTATACAACTACCGAACATATTAAATTCGTGCAACGTATCCCCAGATAGCCTGGATCTGAGTGCATATTCTTAGCAAATAGCGCTCAGATCCCATACGCACAGTTCAATCGCGATGGAGTCAAAGTCTTTTACAGTCTTTCGGTATGCGATTGACACCATGGGATGGCTATCTGGGTTAAGTCCATTCGTATAATCCAAACTCCCAAATGGACCAGTGTTCGCATGCCTTGACGGATGAGAAGGGCGGTCTGTAGTCTCAGCGGTGTTCGGCAGAAAAAGTGTCTGTAACGGACCGTTTTGCACACAAGGGGTTAAAACCGTTTAGGCTCCTAGCAATCAGTCTCTATCAGCATTCAGTAAATCCCCCCAAAGACGAGACAAGGCTCCGTGTTGGGGGTCAAGCAGTGGTCTGTTTAATGAGGGCTACCTGCCCAGTATTTATGCAGGTCTCCCACCTGGTGTACACTCCCCTAGGGGACCAAATGGGAGACTGTGACAAAGGACAGACAAGTATCAATTTAGGACACACAGCCACATTATATTCCCACAATGCATCCTGGCTTCCTCCCCTCTGCCCTGGAGATAATTGAGAAGTAATTCAATTATCTCCCAGGACAAAGGCAAATTGCTATTATGCACGTGGGGATACCAATATAGAAATTACTATTAAAATACCCTATGTGAGACAAGTTACAAGAAAACTATACATTTAACCTATCCCCAGGTAGCTCAGGTCTGAGCGCACATTATTAAGCGAATGGCGCTCAGACCACACGAATACAGTTCAATCGCCATGGAGCCAAAGTCTTTACAAAGTCAGTTCTCATACGAATGAGCTCCATGGGATTCCTATCTGGGGTATAATGCAGTCAGGTACAACTACCGAATACCGGGCCGTTCGTGTACTTCCAACGCACAAGAAGGGAGGTCGGCGGCTTCAGCGGTGTTCGCGCCAAACTGTGTCCGTTTTTAGTTCCATGAGTTAGGAATGTCGAACACCGCTGTGAATTTGTGTGTTTAAAATGGCCGCAACCTCGTGTTCGTTATACGAATGGCGGCCACCCAGTATTAGTCAATTAAGCTGCGGTTAACTGCAGCTTCTGGGAGGCTAATTACCGGCACACTCCAGCTCCCAGGTGGTCTAATCATTCGTGCGGTTGTTCGGTAGATTGAATCTACCAAACACCGGGCAGAAAAGCACGAATAAGTCTTTTCTGCAGGGGAAAAGAGGTCTTTTAACATGGAGCCATAATCCAAAGGTAACAGGCGAGCAACCAGGCTTCTCCAATGCAGTGTGGCGAGGTTGCTCTCGTCACAGTGTCAGTTTTTAGTTCCATGAGTTAGGAATGTCGAACACCGCTGTGAATTTGTGTGTTTAAAATGGCTGCAACCTCGTGTTCGTTATACGAATGGCGGCCACCCAGTATTAGTCAATTAAGCTGCGGTTAACTGCAGCTTCTGGGAGGCTAATTGCCGGCACACTCCAGCTCCCAGGTGGTCTAGTCATTCGTGCGGTTGTTCGGTAGATTGAATCTACCAAACACCGGGCAGAAAAGCACGAATAAGTCTTTTCTGCAGGGGAAAAGAGGTCTTTTAACATGGAGCCATAATCCAAAGGTAACAGGCGAGCAACCAGGCTTCTCCAATGCAGTGTGGCGAGGTTGCTCTCGTCACAGTGTCAGTTTTTAGTTCCATAGAATCTGTGCCGAACACCGCTGGTCTTTCGCATGGTTTAAAATGGCCGCCGCCTTGTGGTCGGCATACGAACGACGACCCTGCATTCGGTTATAATTAAGAGGTGTCTGCGGTTAACCACAACGATCTAATTGGGATCAAGAGGTTAACCAGCAGCACACTTCTCTTCTGGGTGGCCGTCCGTTCGGTAAGTTCATTCGGTAAAAAGTAAAATAGACGAATAGGGCTATACGGGGAGGCAAACTAGACAAACTAGCAATATCAGTCCTACAGATGAATCTGTCACACGGCTCCCTCCTTGTTGGACACTCCGACAGACCCAGCTTGACCCTGTGGCGGGTCAACTTGGGGATGACCAGACTAGGAGGTGGTAGGGATGTCAGTTTGCCGGGACAATCCATCTGCATTCCTGTTCTGCTTAAAGGGTCGGTAGCTGATGGTGAAGTTATAAGGTTGTAGAGCTAAACTCCACCGCAGCAGCCATTGTCTCCTGAGACCCGGTTGAGCCAGACAAGGGGATTGTGGTCCGTCACAAGGGAACATTCCATTCCGTATAAATAGGGGATCAACTTCTTTAATGCCCAGACCAGGGCCTAACACTCTTTCTCCACTGCCGCATAACTCACTTCCCGGGGTAGTAACTTTCTGCTGAGATATGCAACAGGGTGCTCTCCTCCATCTTCCCCGACATGGCTCAGCACAGCCTCCAGTCCATACATCAAAGCATCTGTATGAACGAGAAAGCATTTGTTAGGGACTGGGGCAGCCAAGACAGGGGCATTCACAAGAACGTGGCTTCACAAGCTTGAGACCACATTACCTGCTTCGGCAAATTCTTTTTCGTCAGGTCAGTCAGGGGCTTGGCAATAGTACTGTAGTCAGGGACAAAACGTCTGTAGTACCCTGCCGTCCCCAAGAATGCTAACAACTGGGTCCTAGTGGTAGGTGTGGGCCAGTTAGCCACTGCCTCTACCTTGGCTGGCTCTGGTCTCTGGCTCCCACACCCCACTCGGTGACCCAGGCACCTCAGCCATACCTAGATGTCACTTCTCTGGCTTCAATGTCAGGCCAGCGGACCAAATCTTATCCAGCACTACCCCTCATGAACCAGGTGTTCCTCCCAGGACCCATTGTATATCGCAATGTCATCCAGGTATGCACAGGCAAATTCCTGAAAGCCATCGAGCAGTCTATCCACCATTCGCTGGAAGGTATCCAGGCATTCTTCAACCCGAAGGGCATGACCTTAAATTGGTACAGGCCAAACGGGGTGAGGAATGCCGACTTGGGGATAGCATCCTCGGCCAGGGGGATCTGCCAGTAGCCCTTGCATAGGTCTATGGTGGTCAGATAGCGCCCCCTGGCAATACGATCCAGTAATTCGTCTACCCGGGGTATCGGGTAGGCGTCAGTGGTGGCCCACTCGTTGAGTCGCCTGTAGTCCACACAGAACCGGGTGGTCCCGTCTTTCTTGGGTACCAGAACTACAGATGAGGCCCAAGTGCTGTCGGAGTGTTTGATGACCCCAAGCTGGGTCATCTCCTGTTTCTCCTTCCGCATTCCTTCTTGGACTGCTTCAGGGATACGATAGGTGGGCTGTCGCAGGTGGGTATGTCTAGGGGTCTCTACCTTATGTACAGTTAGGGTAGTGTAGCCTAGCTCCTGGGAGAACGTCGCCTGCTTCTCCCACAGTAGCTGCTTCGCCTGTACCCTTTCTGTGGGGTTTAACCAGTCCCCTAGCTGCACAAGGTTAGTAAGGTCAGTCTGGGGGTCCCTTTCTAGCAAATCGGGAAGGGGTAGATTCTCAGGGTCATCTGCAGCAGGGGCACACACTGCAGCGACATCTTCGGGTCTCTCCTGATACTCCTTCAGCATGTTCACATGAAAGGATCGCTGAAACCTTTCATCTGCACAGCTGGCTATAGGTAGGTAGTATCACATACCTGAGCTACTACTTTATACGGGCCCTGCCAAGAAGCTTGCATCTTATTTGCCTTCACAGGCTTGAGCACCAATACTTTCTGCCCAACCTGGAAGACCCGCTGTCGGGCACCCCGATCGAACCACCTCTTCTGTCTCCCCTGGGCCGACTGGAGATTCTCTCTTACCATCAGAAACAGTTTCTCCATGCGGTCCCGGAGTTCCATGACATACGGTACTATGGGGATCCCCTCCTGCTCTGTCTCCCCCTCCCAGTGGCCCCTAATGAAATCCAGAGGTCCGCGAACCCGTCTCCCATAAAGCAACTCAAAGGAGGAGAACCCAGTAGATTCCTGGGCACCTCTCTGTAGGAAAATAACAGATGAGTCTCTGCAAGTATCTGTAAAGGTCCTCAGCATCTGCTTGAGGGTGCCATTAAAACGCTTGCAGAGACGGTTAGTTTGTGGGTGATCAGGTGAGCTAAGCAGCGGTTTGATGCCGCACACCTTCCACAGCTGCTGGGTAAACACAGTGGTAAATTGGCTTCCCTAGTAAAAATCCTAATCAGGGCATCAGCAACCGTCTCTGCCTCTATATTAGACAGCACTACTGCC